CGGCGCGGGCGGCTGGGCCTGCCGCGCGCCGCGGGGACCTGCGCCTCTGCGTCGCCTCCTGCCATCTCCCTGCCCCGACTTCTCCAGGGCAGGAGAGCCAGGGAGGGGGATCGGGATTCACGGAGGTGCCTGCAGGAAGGACAATCCGGGCCCGTCCTCCTCCTGCAGAACCCCCGGCCCCCTTCCCGGGCACTGTGCTTCCTCCGGTGCCCACGCTGGCCCGTATATTTACAAATATATATACGTGCCCCTATTTATTGGCCCGGCTTCCCCGTGTTTTTTCTGTTTGGCTCACGCTGTATTTGATGTTGCCAATTTCCGGAGATGGTGATAAAAGCACGAACGTGTGCGTGTCGCTATGGAGAAAAGAGAAAAATCAGGTATTCTGCTGCCGTGTGGGGAAAATCGGAAGGAAGAGAAGACGAAAGCTGGTTTTGCAGAGTGCCTTAAACACAAATGACTTTACCGAGTAGGGGGCTTGGGCTCTTCTGTCTTTGGATGTTATTCAAACTCGAACAAATGTTGCATTTCACTTCTCTGGGATTAAAAGACAAATATTCAATCATCCTGGAACCACACTGTGTTTCCTTGAGTAGGTGCGTTGGGAGCGCGCCCCGCGGAGCCAGGCCGTACGGGGGGAGCCCCCAAAAGCCGTGGGGCTGAGTCACCCGGGGTCCCCGCGTGGCCTTGGGGGGCACAAGCTGCTGCCCTGCTGGCTCCGGGCCGTTCCCCTTGTGGCCCTGCGGCCTGGCAGGGAGCTGCCTCGCTCGGCGGCTGGAGAAACGCGAAGGAGAAATCCCCTCGGAAAGTGCAGGTTCTCCCCTGCTTCTTGCATAGGGGAGGAGGGGGGAACAAGATTGGACCCAGAGAGCGGGCAGTGTTTTTCTCTGCAGTCTTCTAGTAAAAATGATAAATGAGGATAATATTGAATTTCATAATGAAGGTTCATTTAGAGGAAAAAATCCACCAACGAGGGGAAATAAGAGCACTGAAACATTTGGGAAAAATATGAAGGTTTGCAATATATTTTCTGAAAGACATTAAATATTTATTATTATTTGGCAATGGAAGGGGAAGGAATTGTCAGCCCAAGCCCTGCCGGCGTGCTGGGGACGGCGTTTGACCTGGTGGGCACCGGCAGAGCTGGTGCCTGAATGTTGTCCCGGGACGTCTGGGCTGTGTCCCAGGCGGAGGGGAAGCTGGATGCGGCTCCGGCTGCAGGATTGGGCTCTTGTCGGGTGCCAGAGGTGCCTCCCCCAGCGCTGCACAGGGAAGGAGGCAGTGCAAATACGTGCAGGGAGCCTCAACCCTACCGGTCCCCTCTTGCTGTGCAGCAACATTTGTGCCCTGTGCGGGCTGGTTTCTGTAATAGCTGCTTGTTTTAAGTGTCGCTGCTCACGCTGGGCACCAAAAGATGCTGGTGGGCAGCCAACGTGTTTGATGAGTGCGTTTCTTTCCTAGGTTTATATTAAACCATCCCTTTTCTAGGTGAGTTTGGGACTGCAGCAAATGCTGATCCCTGTGGATGCAGTGTGGCCCCGGGCAGCTGCGGGCCTTGGGGTAGCTGGCAAATCCTGGCTGGTGGCTTTACCTTGTGGAAAAGGGTCTTTTCCCAGGGGAAGAGCTGTAGTCCCTGACCAGGGAGAGGGTCTAAATGGGCTCTGGGACAAACGGGACCGTCGCCCAGTACACACTGGCCTGGGGTGGTGGTGCTGGAGAGGCTGGGGTGGCACGGCCCCGTGGGGCAGCTCCCTGGCCAGGGGGCTGTGGGACTGTGCCAGGAGCAGGAGGGCTTTGGCTAACCAAGGGCTGCAGGGCGGGCTTGCACCGGGCTCGGGGACTGGCTCCCAAGCAAACAAGGGGCTGAGGCCTTTGGAAATGGGTCTTTCCCAAGTGCCGCCTTCACAGAGCAATTCCAAGGGCAGCCCAGGGCACGGCCGCCCATGGAGGAGCACGGGCTCCTCACGGAGCAGGGAAACCCTGCAGGGCCGAAGCAGCGGTGCTGCCCGCGGGCACGGCCGCAGAGCCACAGATGAGGGATGCTGCACGTAGTACTGACGAGTGCTTTATTTGCTCTATCCCATCATCCAGAAAACCTGAAAACATCAGTCAGCTTTCAGCAAGAGGCAGCAGTAACAAGCGGCAGCGCTGGGCTCTGCAGCTCCTCCCCGCCGTGTGGGAACAAGTAGAGGTTAATGAGTTAGTGAGAAGGAAGGCGCACAGCAGTCTGGAGCCCTCTAAGCTACCCCACGGGAGACGCGCGAACCCACCAGAGAAGCCCTCCCAGACCTGGCTGCTGACCCCACGCTTCCTGCTCTGGGGCCAGCGTGGCTAGCACTGAAGAGGAGCGACTCCGCCGCGCTGGCCAGGAGCTCCCGCCAGCCTGCTGGGCCTTGCTGAGCCGAGTTAAGGCAAGAAAACACCCAGGCTTTGAAATCTGAGAAGATGTGCAGGACACAGGGGATGTGGAGCACGGGTTTAGTATTGGGATTTAACACCAGTGTGACACTACGAGGCTGCCGACCGTGCGGTGTCGGGGAGGCAGGAGCCCTGCGCGAGGGTGACTCCAGGGTGGCGCCCAGGGAAGGCTCCCGACGCCGAGTGACCCACGGCGCGGCGCGGTGGCCGCGCGCCCGCTCACTCCGGCTGCGGTGTGTAACGCAGGTACTTCTTGCCCGACGGCAGGTCCTTCGTGAAGATTCCTTTGGGGAAGAGCTTCTTGGCTTCGTCGTCAGGTAAGCTTGGAATCACCATGACGCTGTCACCAGGCTGGGGAGGAAATGGGAACCATGAGGGCAGCAGAGGAACTGGCAGCTTTGGCTGCTGGTGGCACTGCCTGGCCGCTGGCAGCTGGTGTGGCCCTCGCTGTGAAGGCCCAGCCCCAGCGCCCCGCGCGCAGCCCCGGCAGCTCTGTCCACAGCCGTAGCCAGGACCGAGCAGGAGATGCACCAGGTGGAGCGGGCACTTGGGCCATGGCTCCTCTCCCAGAGCTTGGCCTGCCTCGTAACAGAGCCCCACGTGCCCAGCACTTCTGCAGTAGCCGAGTGCGTCCTCCGGCTCTGCACAGGCAGACTTCTCTGGTAACAACTACCAGAGCCAGCAGGAGCACGGGTTCAAGAGCGGAGCAGCCCTGCCAGGCCAGGGAAATGCTGGCTAGCTGACGTGCACTGCTTGTTCTCACTTTTTATTGTCTGCCCAAACTATTTTTTGGAGTTTTAAATAATGCTCCTGAGTGGTAACAGCAGCTAAGCAGCATTGGTTACCTACCTTCCACAAGGCTAGGAGTATCTGCTGGGCAGAGCGGGCCTGTGCCCACGTTGCTCCTTCCTGGTTCAAAGGCAGCAGAAGGGTGTGTGACCCTGGCACCAGCTACCCTGCACTTGTTGCTTGGTGGTGCTGACTTTGAGCAGAGTTTGGCCCAGCAGCTGACGCCCAGTAACGCCTTCCTGATAGACAGCACGGGCAGGAGCTGCCCTGCCCCAGAGCTCAAGTACTGAGAACCCAAAGGGAGGGCTCCTGCAATGGCCCTGGAGCCTGTGCTGGGATCTAACTCGGATCTCGGCAGCCTCCCTGACACTGCAGCCTCCCAAGGGGTGCCTGATGTTTCAGTGCCTCTGTGCATGGTCTGCCCGCTGCGGTGCTGGCCTGCAGCCTCTAGTCCCCTCCTCACCTTCCAGTTCACAGGGGTAGCGACCTTCTTGTACGCTGTCAGCTGCAGGGAGTCCACCACTCGCAGGATCTCATCAAAGTTTCTCCCAGTGGTGGCTGGGTAGAGGATGGAGAGTTTCAGCTTCTTATCCGGGCCGAAAACAAACACCTGAGCAGAGGGAGACAAGGGCAGATTCCTGAGCACCCTCAGGGTGGAGTCTGTGTCCTACTGCTGCGCTGGATCTGCCCAGCCCTCCTGTTCCTCCTTCTCCCAGGAGGTGTCCTCACTTGATCACTGCTCCTTGGGACTGTGGGACACTGTGGTGATGATCTCCTACAACAACCAGTGTGACATACCCCAGCACAGGGAACATAGCATTTTTTTCTGAGAATTTGTTTTGAACATCAGGTTATTTCACAAATCCTCCCCACCCTCAACCTGTGTTTCTTCTAGTGCAAGTGCTGGAGGGGAGAGGGAAAGTCCAGCGTATCAAGGATTTGGTGGCACCAGCAAGACAGAGCCATTCCAACACGACAAGGTTGTGCCCAGCGTCTACTTGCAGCACAACCCGGAGAAGCCAACCGAGCTCCCGAGGATGGTCCTGTCCATGCAGGTAGGCTGTTGCAGACAGGGCAGGGTGGCAGTTCACGCCGAGGGCTGCAGTGCTGCAGAGCACGGCCGGGTACTCACCACGCGGGCGGTCAGGGGCATGCCGTCCTTGTCCCGCTCGTCTGGGTCCAGCATGCCCAGCTGCACCGCGAGCTCCCGCTTGGCGTCGGCAATGATGGGGAAGGGCAGCGTCTGCTCGGGCTGGTCCCCGTTGTAGGCGTTGATGTCCTGCAGAGAGAAGCCATGGGCACGCTCGTGCTCGCCCTCCCGGGTGCCGTCGCTGCACGCGCGCGGCTCCGGCGGCGTCACGCAGCCCCTGACCGTGATTCCGGCACGGGTGCTCCGCTCGCACGCGCTCCTACCCCAGCTGGTGCCCAGCTCTGCCTAGGCACATGGAAGCAGGAAAAGCCCTGCCGGTGCTGGAGACACAGGGGGATTTACCCACCTTGCTCTGAGAATGGAGGTGCCTCTTCCGAGCCGTCTCCCAGAACATGAGCCAGCATAACTAATGTGACAGAGCATCTGAACTGGACAGCACTCTCCAAGAACAGCTTTGGAGCAAGCCAGTGACCCTAGAGCTGACCCCAGAGCTCACATGTGAAACATCTGAGTGCCATGTGCTGGGTTACAGCATGATTTTGTACGAACAGTAGCTGGGAGCAGGAGACAAAACAACAACACCTTCAACAGCTGCCTACGCTCTCCCTCATGACCTTGGTCTGTGCAGTTGCTCCTCATGCTAGTCCAAACTTTGTCTGTATTACAGGGAATCTCTATTTTTAGCCTCTCTGAAACTGGTCTGGATTCAGTCAAAACATTCCAGTTTTCCTTGTAATCTGGGACAGCTCCCGTATGGATTGGACGCAGCCACAGCGGGTCTGGGAGTAGCCTGCTCAAGGCAGCACAAGCAGAGCAGCTGCCAGCATCAAAGCAAGTGAGAATTCAAGGTCACTGCCCCAAAACAGAGCTATCATTTCTTTCCATTCTCATTTTGCTACAAGGGAACAAAACAAACTCCAGCACTGACCTAACCTCCCACCCAGCACTGTGGTGTCATGGGCTGGGCTGGCCGTGTGAGTCTGCAAGTCCCTGCCTCCCTCAGGCCTTGAAGGTGGGGATCAGGCTGGGCCTTGCTCAGGGGCAAGGCAGGGAAGAAGAGGCTGGAAATGCTGCCCCTGGCACTGCCAATGGCACCGACTGTACCAGAGGCAGCAAGAACAGGCAGGCTCAGCAGGTGCCCCAGGCTGATGGATGATGATGCAGGGGGCCCTAACACTGCCCTGCTGAGCGCTGGCTGCTCAGGATGCTGCAAGCAGGTCAGAGGGTGTACACGTGGCAGGATGTTTCCTTTGCAGCTCTTCTCTTCGTTTGTTTCACCGCCAGAGCCTTCGCAAGTCAGCGCTGCACTGCCAAGAGCACGGCCTGCTCTGCTCGGGTGAGCCGCGCGCGCTCCCCGTCGCGCCCTGCGCGGAAGCAGTACGTGCAGCCGTCCTTAGGGAGCCAGCTGAGGCCAGCAGCGTGTTCCTGCTTGCCTCAACCAGCAGCACCTTCCTGGTAGCCACAGGGCCCGCC